AATAAATACACTTACCATACTTAATACACTTAATTTAATAAATACACTTACCATACGTATTTTTAAAATTTTTTAAAATACAGTATAAAATATTTAATTAATAATTGTCAATTAAAGATTCATTTTAAGAATCAATCATATTTCTAATAATTGTTAGAAATAATATATATATATATATATTAGTATTTACGTGAAAGTAACATATATGTTACTTATATGGTAACATATATGTTAACATATATGTTAATTATATATAATAAGGACTAACATAAATCAAATTTATAATCAATTTTCTGCCACTTTCATTAATTATTTCCTAAAAATAGTAAATCGGATTTTTTCATTTTTTTTTTATTAATAACATCAAATACTTTTATATTAGTAAACAATAAGGACTCAAAATCCGAATAAATCTCCTATTTTTCCAAACAATTTGGAAATCCGAATGTAAATCCGAATAAATTATGATTAGAAATTGTGATTTCCAAACAATTTGGAAATCCCGAATAAATCTTCAAAGAAAATCATGATTTGTACATATCACGATTTTAGAAATATATTCAAAATTTTCTTTGCATTAATCTGAATCATAATTCATTCAGCCTATTATTATATTATTAAATTGTTTGAAACCGCATGCTAAGATCTGTATATATCAGATTTCCAAAATCATGATTTGTATATATCATCTTTTCACTAATTAGACTTTTTCCTTCATTATCGATTTGAAAAAGAAAACAAATTTTATATACCTTATCGGTTTTGATAATACAATGTTATAATCATTATCATTATTTATTTTAAAAGTTAGTGTTTGTCATTTATTTGATTTCAAAAGATGAAAAAAAATTCATAGTTTAGGTCTCTTTTTATTTATGCATTTACACAAATTAATTTAAAAACTCTAATAACGATTGACAACAAAATTTGTTATATATTCATTCAAACCAACTAATTAATAAAATAGTCAATCAATCACGAAATTAAAAAATAACACACGATAACTACATTTCAATGATTAAGTTTTGTAGATAAACATTCATTTATATTGTCATAACGATAAACAAGAGTGAGTGTCAATCTTAGAAATTTGATGATTTCAACTGCTATATTTCCAATGATTTTTTTACCGTTGGAATTTTTATTTCCACCCCGTTGAAAAATCCACCGTTGGAATCATCAAAATCCAACGGAAAATCCAATAAATTTTCCATTGGAATTTCCGTTGGAATCCATTGAAATTTTTCAACGGAAATAATAGTATTGAAATATCCGTTGGAATTGTCGTTGGAATAATTTCTTTTGGAATAGATTTCAACTGGAACTTTATCATTTTATTGTAGTGTGCCCAATAATCAAACTAATAATGTTGTTTACAATTAGGTTTTTAATAACATATGATTTTTTCATACACGAACATTTTATGAGCATTTTCCGCTCAAAACATTAATTACCTACAATAGATGGAAATAATATAAAATGATCTAAATAAAAAATAAATCATTAATTGAATAATTTTCATATAACTCGATTTTCGGTTTGTGTTTGTTTCAGTAAATTCTTGGTTTTTCTTTAATTACAATGATAGTGGTTTTGTAGGCAAAGATTATGTAAATAATTATACGTAGCCGATTTTGGAACTCTTATTTATCAATGATTCTTTTTTATTTTAACAAATTTATTAGAATTATTGATTTGGATTAGCATATATGTTACATACACACAAAAAAAAAAAAAAATAATTTTATAGTAATATTTAAATTTACATTGCTTCAATTTTGGAATTCTCATTTGTGAGGATTCTTTTTTACTTTATCATATTTTTTAGAACCAACAATTACAAAATATAAATTTATATCAATATCTAAATATATTTATATTAATATTATTTTTCATTGTGGCAGATTTTGAGAATGAACGATTCTATATGAGATATATACAAATCTTTTTTTTTTTGAGATATACACCAATTCCCTTTATTGGTATTCTTTTTGTCAATTGTTTCTAAAAAGAAAACTATCAAAATTTTGTATAGTAAATCGATTTTTTGTTTTTGTATACACAAGATATAAATTTATTGCAATATATATATATATATATATATATAATATATATATAGGATATATATATATATAAATTTACTACCTAAAAAGTTGTCACACATATAATAGGAAAGCTGTCCAATTAAAAATTGTTCAGTTTGAAAATATATGACAACTTGTCACACATTCAATTAAAAATTGTTCGGCTTGAAAAAATTAGCCTGAAGTAATGTCTAATCACTAATGTTTTATATTTATATCTACTATATATAATCTCTCTCATTAATTAGTATGATGTAATATTTAATGTTTTGTATTATTCATACATATTTTTGTAGATATACACCAATTCATTTGTCCAACTGTTGTATAAATTATCATATTATAAATGGATCAATCTTAGACTTTTCCAGCGGTACCAGTTCCTTCTGATTTTGGAGTTCCATTTAACAGTCATGGTTAGTCTTTTTGTATAAAAAATATAGAAATATTCATTTGTATAAAAAAAATATAGAAATATTAGTGAATATTATATAGCTAATCAAGTATAATCGATATTAAACTAACAACACATTGTATGTTGGCATGTTCTCGAAGAAATCAATTTTTAGTCACGGACAATTATGTTGTTTGTTTCGTGTGTAAATAATAAAAAAATGTTGAAAATATTAGTTTGTGGGGACGACGAGTTGCTCAGTTATTGAACAAATAATGTTGTGTACAAGAAAGTTTATATAATATATATATATATATATATATATATTTTGCATGAGACACATTTTATGATTTGATAATTTTCCTACGAACTATCACTCTTTTATTTATTAATATATTTTAATTTTTAATATTCTCCAAAGTAAATACAGCCCGTGCATCGCACGGGTTACATACTAGTCTATATTAAAAGCCAACCTATTTACCAAAAAGTGTATTAAGAAAAGTTAACACACATTTAATGCATACCTTAATTGGAAATTTTTTTACTATATGCATTAAATGCTTGCATATTTACATTTATTATCCAAGTATGTTCTTAAAGATTTTTTCCTTAAATAATTTATGCAATGATTTTAGTGATATCCATTATAATTAATATTTGTCGAGTAATATTTTTTAACATTTATTTAATTATATAAAACTAATATTTTTCTTTTAAAAAATAATATTATTTATCATTTAAAAGATAATGATCACATCATTAAATGATTTTATTGATAGTTAGATAATAAAATTATATTAGTTATTCTTTAAAATTTCGACATATTATTTATTTGTATATTATTGTCAACTATGATAGTGTTTTTATCACTTTTTTTTTTTGTTATGTTTCAAAAATGAACTTATTGTAAATATTTTTCTATTGTATAGTATGTTAAATAAACTATAAAGCCTTAGGATGAAAATTAGAAAAAAAAAATCTCTTAATTATGTAAGGGATTTATTTTTTGGCAATTGCTAAATCATTTTTTTTTTAAAAAAAAGAATTATTACGAGAAAATTGAATTCTAAAAAACATGTGTGTGTATTTTGTAAACATTTATACTCAAAATTTTATTTTGAATTTCATTACATAAAAAAGACTACTTCTATAACTTTTATAAATAATAATAATTACATTATATGACTGTATATTTTATAATTTAATAATAATTGAGTATTATATGGTGAACAATAATTAATAAAATTTTTATTTTTTCTATATCAATGAATAAATATGTATTCTAAAATCAAATAAATATTAGTATGACGTGTTAGCGGAATTATATATTAATTAACATGTTAATTTTTTGACTTAAATAAACGCCACTTATTAAAAGATGTGAAATATGGATGATTCAAGCCTATTGTTTTTTTTTTTTGTCTAGACGTACAAGTCCTATAGAAATAATTGATTTATTATATGTATCACGTGCATCGCACGGGGTATGCAC